TCTGGATGAGTAGTGTTCACTGGACTTCCTTGTAAGCGTATGGATATAATCCTATCACTCACAATGTTGTACTTCAAGATGGACCTAGAAATTTCTTTTTTGACTATGAAAGCAACTCCATTTTTCCTAGCGTAAGGTAAAGAAAAAAGAACTCCACTTAATCTGCAAAAGACTTCCCCATGATCCTTTGTTTTTGTTTTCTACTCCCTTTTAATTATCCTTTGTTTACCTTCCAATACACAGAGAGGCATGGCTTGGGTCCTTTAGTCATCTGGTCTGTCTTTACTCTCTCTTATCTCATTCTTGGTTGACTTCTCATTATTACTTTATCCTCAGTCTGCAACAGGTCCCCTAAATCCCATAATTCATGCTAAACTTGGAGTTACCAGCTACCCAATTGGTATCAACACATTAATACTAGCTGAAGCGCAACTTGTTGGATGCTGTTTCATTCCACTTTTCCAAGTACAAGGCAAGGGCAGAGTGCTGACATTCTGCTTCTCCACTTCAAGTGGATACTCATTGTTCTTGATTTGCTACATAAGTTGCCATGTTGGCCCAGACAACACATAGGAGATAGTTGGCCTCTGGAACCCATTGAAAGTAGAGGCAACAACAACGGTGTAAGTACCCATGTTTTCAAACCATCCAGTCTCCCACATGTATTTCTGGCAGGTTACAGCATTCAACAATCTGATGCAGGCCATCACATCTTGGTTCACATCTGCTAGATGAATAATACTTCTCATCTGGTTTGGGTCTCTTTTGCAGCAGGGGCTTTACATGTGCATGATCATAAGGGATGCAATTTAATGTGTCATATACTTCATCATTCACATAATATATAAATGTTTGTTCACTTGATTCATCATCATCATCAGAGCCTGTCTATTCTTTTAGTACAAGTTTCTTGGCAATGTTGTTAACAGAAAGGGTTAAAGCTGATGCAATATAGTATCTACCTGGCTCAGCTATGATTTTTACTCCACAATCTGATGGAAAATACTTGTCCAATGCTTGTTTGGTTACCCTGGTTATCTCTTCAAATTTAAGCTTCACATCCTCAGATCCACGAAAGCCCTCACCAATGTCAAGTAGATACATACTAAAACCAGCCTCAAGTCCCATGTCATAGACACACGGGCATCAGCCATTGCTCGCACAAAGGTCTCTGGGTCAGTACAGACACTTCCCCCATGGAAGCTGACACCAGTGACATCAATACTGAGGGCTTTAGCCAGTTCTTTAAAAACCCTGCTGCTTTTGAGTGTAGCACCAAATTTAACACGAAGGCAACAGACTGCTTTGGGATCATCAGTGGCAATCTGCAACACCAACTCTGCCTTTGGATGTGCCCTGGCAACTTTCATCAAGTCTACTTCACTATCAAATGTCGTCATCTGAACTCCATTATTGGCAGCATACTTAATTTGAGATACTTGTTTATAAGAATTTGCATAGATCATCCTCTCTGGAGGTACCCCAAGACTCTGCACCAGCTGTGTTTTTCTTACTGTCACAGTCAAATCCTGTCCCTTTGGTCCCCACAATGGCTCTGCTAGCACTACATTTGAGTGCATAAAAGAGAGTGACCCAAAGAAGAGCTTTTAGCCATCTCAGATGCTTCTTCAGGATGTCTCCAAGGTCCACAACATAAAAGGCATCTTTATCATCTGAAGAGGAAACTTCATTAATTTCTTGGTCCAGAATACCCTTCATTCAGGAAATGGCAAACTCTTCTTTATTGAAGCTGTTCATGGATGGTTTCTCGATGTTTTCCCAATATGAAATAAGAAGGAAAACTAAGAGACAGAATTTTAAATAATGTCCTGCTTTTCACAAAGGCCAATTCTTCTGGAATTTCTAATCCAATTGAGTAGCAGGCTTCTAGCTTTGGAGTAGCACTATAAATGTTCTCAGTGCATGAGGACTAGCCCAATAGATACTGCTTTGGGAGCTGGGAAAAGCAGCTCAGCAGCTCCTGGCGCTGTCCCCGCCCCCGCGGCCCTCAGGCCACTGCCCACACGCTGCCTGCCTCTGCTCCCTCCCACCTGAGCACCACAGGCCCAAGGTGGTGCTGAGCACAGGCTGAGGAGCCGCCTGTGGGGAAGGCTGCAGGGGACTGACCTTCCGTCTTCTTTTAATGCTTCCCGGATCATTTTGTACTTTTCCCAAAGCATCCTTAAGTCTTGTGACTCGAGGCTTGAGCTTGTTCTTCAGTTCTTTCAGCTTAAGAAATGCTGAGCATTATGCTAAGTGAAATATGTCAGTCACAAAAGGACAAATACTGCATAATGTCGCTGTTATAAAACAGGACTGACATGGGGTTTGGGGGGAAAATAAGAAAAGAGGGGATAAATAATGAACACGGCATTGAAACAGACGAGGGAGAGACCTTTATAAAATATAGGAATATAGGATTAGGTATTACTGGCTTGTCAAGAAGGAGGGGACTGTAAAAAAAAAAAAAAAAGAAAAGAAAAGAAATGCCAAGTGAGTTTGGCACTTTTGATTTTCTGACTCCAGCTATTTGCATATTTCATTATAATACTTTGCTTTGTCTCCCCGAGCTGTCCTTTAAAACATTCTGTTCAGCTCCTTAATTTCTTAATTCCTTTTGCTTTGACTTCTCAGTGTTCTAGTACAATATTCAGAGTCTCTTCTGACATTCATCTTGGTCTTTTCTTCTTCCTCTGTCTTTGTAATGACCTTTTGGATTCTTCATGGATGATACTCTTGATAACCTCCCACAGCTGGTCTTCACTCTTTAGAGTTCAAGTCTCAAATCTGTTCCTGAGATGGTTTTGAAATTCAAGTAGCATAGACTCAAGGTCAAATTTTGGTTCCTGTGAATTTGCTTTAAATTTCTTTAGCTTCAGCTTGAACTTGCTCATAAATAGTTGGTGGTCTCTTCCACAATCAGAACCTGGCCTAGTTTTCAAAACTCCTATGGAGATTCTCCAGTGATTTCTTCCCACAGATGTAGTCTATGTGGTGACTATTCACACCATCAGGTGAAATCAATGTGTACAGTCTACATTTATGTTTCTTATAATAAGCATTTGCAATAAATAGGTCATTGATTGTATATAATTCTATCATTCTCCAGCATCATTTCTGTTACCAAGTGCATGTTTTCTGACTACTGATTCATCTTCCCTGCTTTCAATTTTTGCATTCCAATCACCCATTATTATTAAAGCATCTTGATTGCATATTTGATCAATTTCTTACTGCAGAAGCTGTTAGAAATTTTCTATTTCCTCCTTTTTTGGCTCTAGTTGTTGGTGCATATATTTGAACGATGGTATTCACTGGACCTCCTTGTAGTGTGTGAATATTATCCTGTCACCAAGTGACAGGATTTCTTCATAGCTGTATTAAAAGTTCTTCTTGTCAGTATAGATAGTAACTTATTCACATTACTGTACTTCAGGCAAGATCTTGATGTGTTTTGATTTGTTATTTTGTTTTAATAGTGAATACAGCTCCATTCATCTTCAATTTGTCATTTCCAACATAGCATATTGTATAACTAATTAAAAATTGCCAGTATCGGTCCATTTCAGTTCACTTGTTGTTGATGTTTGCCATGGAGTCAGAACTGACTCATAGCTGACCCTCCAGCAGGTTTTCAGAGGCAGTTAATCACCTGGAAGGAGATTGTCTATTTTTCTCCTGCAGAACAACGGGCAGATTTGAAATATGTACCTTGGAGGTTGCAGCACAGCTTCTTTTCACTAAGCTACCAACATTCCCTTTCAGCTCACTTGTTTTTGTTGAGTACCATAATTGACCCTCCAGCCAGTTTTCAGCACAGTTATGACTAAACCAATAAAATTCCCTAATGACAAAGCGTGTTGTTATTGTTTTGAGCCATACACTCACCTGATACTCACAGCAACCCTATGTACAGTAGCTTTGAATCTAGTCCTATCCAGACTCTGACACACCTACTTCCATTTCCCCCATTACATCCTTCTTATCCATGTTATTCTGTGCTGTCCTTCCACCCTTCCAAATATGATGTCCTTCTCCAAGAACTTATACCTCCTGGCAATATACCCAAAGTATGTGAGACAGAGCTTCAAAATTCTTACCTCCAAAGAGAAATTTGGTCTCACCCTCTCCAAGACAGATCTGTTTGTTCTACTAGTAGTCCATGGAATGCTCAATACACAACTTAAAGGCATCAATTCTTCTTGTCATCCCTAGACATTGTCCAGCTCTCTGATGCTTAGACCATGGCCTGGATCAGACATACCTTAGTTTCTAGACTAACATTACAGTTTAGCACTTTGGAGAGGGACCTGACAGCAGATTTTCCCAATTCAATGTCTTGATTTCTTGACTGCTGATTCCAAGTGTTGATTGTGAGGCTAAGCAAGCTGAAATTATTAATCACCTCAATCTCTTCGCCATCTATCATGGTGCTGTCAGTGGGCCCAATGGTGAGAATCATTGTCTTCTTGACACTGAGCTTCAATCCATATTAAATACTACAGTCCTTGAGCTTCTTCAGCAAATGCTTCATGTCCTTCTCAGTTTCAGCAAGCATAGTAGTGTCACCTGCGTGATGCAGCTTGTTTATGAGTCTTCTGCCAATCCTGATGCCACATTCCTCCTCATAAAATCCAGCCTCCCATATATTCTGTTCTCCATATAGATTGCAAATGTGTGCAGACAGGGTATATCCTTGATACACTCCTTTCCCGATTCTAAATCATGTAGTGTTTCTATGCTCTTTTCTGAAAACTGCTTCCTGATCCAAGTATAGATTTTGCATGAGCACAATCAAGTGTTGGGGGATTCACATTCTTCTCAAGATTAGCTATAATTTGTTGTGATCCACACAGTCAAATGCCTTTGCATAATCAATGTTATGTCTATCACAAGGCATATTGCTGATGTTGTTATATGTCTTCTAGTCGACTATGACTCATGGAGACCCTATGCACAATAGTTCTGAACCCTCTCTACCCTGAGCCAGTGTCACTGTCTTTGACACATGCTGCCTCATGACTCCAAAACTAATCTACTAATCCAAAACAAGGCATAGCAGTATTACAAAAAGACCTAAAGAATAGCCTGCATATCAGAAGAACTCATTACCTTTATTATATAATATCAGTCTGATTTCTCCTTGGTAATAAAGGCAAACCATACCAGACAAAACAGTTCTTTCCTTTTTTGCCTATTGATCCAGAGGCCTGAGTAGCTTAAAGTGACTGGAGACTTTCTTACCTTCCAATTGTGTGAAACTGGACTCTATCTCCAGGAGGGAGTGCTGCTTCTTTTGGAAATAAGACTTATTGACCTGCAAGGTGTAGTATTATAGTTACAGGAAGTAAGAGCTTGCCTGAGAGCATCACCAAGGGGAATAGTGAGTGGTGGCATTCCCATAACTATCCATTGATTTCTGGGCCTGTGAACTGTAACTGTCAGAGAAACTACTCCATATATCTCTGATTCCTGGTGTGTAGAGCCTCCAAAAATGGCTCAGTGTCAGAGACTCACAAACTGGTCACTCAGTTGTAGCTGTAGCCAAATCTGCCCGAGAGTGTGGAAGTCTGTGTTGCATAACTCAAATACCTGCTCCCATAGTCACTTTGTTCATGTGCTGTGAAACGATGAAGGTGGCTGGAGAAAGGGGCTTAGTTTTATAGAACCTGTCATCTTAACCATTTAATAATTAAATTCCTCCTATACCGAGGTCACCTTTGGTGAGCATTCACATGAGAAACACCTATAGTTACTTCTTTGGCCAATTCAGAAATATCTATCTACATTCCTCCTCCATCGGCCTCTTTGTTACCAAATTTCTCATCACATTCTTTCTCAGTCTTTTGGTCATTTCTCCTTCCAAGCAAATAAAACTGCCACTAGATACACTGCTTGAAGTTGTGGTCACCTAGAAGCATTCCTTTAGCTACTGTCCTTCAAAGAGGTCCCAGAAAGGGACTGAAGTACTGTCATTGCTCACTTCTGAATGGTGCCTATTGTGCAAAATGGTGCATATTGTGCAAAGCCGTCTGGGAACCAGGCAGGAGTTTTCTCTTTCACAGTCAACTGAGAATAGGGAACTCCCAGCAAAACCATAACTGCATATTGGGAAACAAAAGATAATGTGACAGGAATAGAGATCTTAGGTATCTGGGCCATTTCCTTGTCTTATGCAAGTCCTGCCTGAGCCCTGTCTCATGTTTACCGTGTCCATTCAATGACGCAGTGCTGCTCTGCCTGCACAACTTTATGACTGTGCATCAGACAACACCTAGGTCATGGTGAGAAAGAAGCTCAAGCAATGTGGTTAGTCACTCATGGCTGGGAATTCGTATCTCTTATTGTCCAATAGCAAGCCAAAAGCTGTTTCTCATTTATTTGCAGAGGATTGAAAGGATTTGTCTCAAAACTCCAAGGGCCTAGATTACTGCAGCCTGATATTTTTCTATGGACGGGACTTTGCTTGTGGTTGAAAATGCTCAAATGTTCACATTCAACAGAGGATTCTTCTGCAAAAAGAACACGCTTGTTCTCTCAGAGTACTTGTTTAATAGGGACGGGGAAGTCAGAAATTGCCTATCTAAAAGGAGAATATTAGGGCAGGAGGCATGAAGTGCTAAAAAGGGATATTGGGAAAGGAGGCATAGAGATGCTTTTATGAATTTAGTTAATAATAAAGTAAAATGTAAATGAAAAATTGCACAAAATACATTGCACTGGGGGACGGGGGAAGAGCAGCATTTTCCCAAAAGTAAAGCCTTAAAGGCAAGAAGGGGTAGAATAGAAAATATTAATGGAAATCAAAATCAGAAAGAGGACGTGCCCTGCCCATCCTCACCTTTCTGCTCCCAATCCTCACCCCTTTGGATCCTCATACATGCTTTTTATAATAAATAAAATTTAAACAAGAAAGAAAAAGAGGAAATGGGGAAAGTGTGATTACATTCTAAGTATTCTAAAGGTCTAAATGGGACATGACACAACAACATCAAAAGAACCAAAAAACAAATTAAACTCTCTGAGGGCTTCCACTGTAATTCAACCATAGAGACCTGCCAAGGATTACAAGTAATATCTCTATCTGCCACTGGCCCTTCATATATTGTTGTTGTTATTGAGTCAAATCAAGTCATAGTTAAGCGTTTAGTGGACTTTCAGAAGCAGTAAATGGCATGGAAAGAGACTGCCTATCCATGACCCTTGGAGAAGCTGGTGGATTTGAACCA